TAAGAGGATTGATTGGAACTCTTCGTGTATTGGAGAACTGTATTGGTATATCCATTGAATTTTCCTTTTAATTAATGGCGTTTGAGAGGGGCAATCTTTATTAAAAGAATATTTAATAATAGCATCAAAGGTTGGCGTATGTCGAAGCTATTGACCATCCGAATCTATTGATCTACGGATCAATAATACGGAGCGATGTTGAATAACATCGGTGATATCACATTCTGCCCTCTGTTCATCAAATATAGTACTTCGTCTCACAGAATGGTACAAATGAGATATTGCAATACCTTTTCATAACAGAATGTTCGAGATATTATGAATTGCCTCCGTGCTCCTCAATTTTCCTAATTATAATCTGTCGAAGTATTTAAAGGCTGGGAAACGAAGGGAATCCCTACTTTCATCATTTTATCATTTTTTTAAACATCTGAACTGCTCAGGGGGCAGTTAACAAAGTCGATTCTTCTTTTTCCTGTACTTTATAATCCAACATCGATACATGTCGGTCATGGTAGAACGTATGTTGTAAAAGAACTCTGAACACAATTGCCAAGCAAGTCCCACTGATCGTTTGGATCATCCAAAATGGACGAAAATAAACACGTTTAACACATTGACTATCACATCACCACATATATAGGTGACATGAATTTTCACTGAGGAGCTAAAAAAATTCATTCTCAAGATTAGACGTTAAAGAAAATAAATCTGGATAGGATTATGGGTATGCTAGTTTCCAATAGATTAAAAACAAAGTATCGTTTTCGTAGACAATTTGAGGAGTTTGGTCTGACAGTCAACGTGTTAATCCTCAAATGCACGATATTTTAATTCTGACCAAAAAAATCTACTATATAGGTTTATGCAAAAATACAACAAAAAGAATATTTATTCAGAATATAATAAGATTACTATACCCATTTTTTTAAACAGACGAATCAAGTAAAAAACCAGTGCAATACCAACGTATTTTAGTAAATAAACACGCTTATCAGCATAAAATACAGTTACTCGCCTATAAAGTATCTTTTCACCTAGAATGAGTCTCCAAAAAATTTAATTTTATTGTCACTCCCAACTTTCACAAACTTCGTCAATTTAAATGTCAATTGACTTTTTTCGTACTTCGTTCGAATGAACCGATGCAACATGGCGTACAGCCAAAAGTAAAACTTTGACAGTGTTTCCTTTTTGAGACGTTCTGCATTTATGTGAGAAAGGTGTTAATGTCGTGTTTGGTCGCGTTAATTCGAGCGGGAAAGTCAATAACCATGCCGAAATTGCAGAACGGAAGACAAAGAGGGCAAGTGTCGCATTGCACGGTTAGGTATCTCTGGCTCTCATCAGTCCGTCCCCCGGGGCAGACGTCCGGAACCATTTCGTTCGAAGTTAAAAGGAGACAAGAAATTTAGTTATGTCGGGACAAACTCCGCCGGGTGGACAAGGACGTTCCGGTCTCTCCCATGACCGGGAGTAGCCACGACATTCCAAAATGCTTTCTCCCTCCCCCTGGTCGGGGCTCTTGCGCCCTATCACGGCTGACCCGGCCATTCCCTATCCTTCATCCGCGCATTTCCATCCCTCTGCTGGTCAACCCCCGTCGAGCGCCGGGAACACCGAATGCAACCATGCGTCATCCGCCATGATCTATGCTTTCTGCCGTGCTGGCATTACGCTCGGCGTGCACACGCGAGCGCGACGGCTCTATGTACACATAAGGACCAGGGACGCATTTACATAAGCACGTACACCAGCTTGGACCGCGAGCCGGAAATATATGAATCCAGCGGTTGCGCGACCAGCACGCGTGTGCGTTGCCTTTCTGGCCGGGCTCGCGTCTCTATTAAAGCTCCGCTCATTTTCAGGGCTTTACATATTGTACCCCCACACGCGCGAAACCCTCCCTACCACCCCCTCTATGTCGCACGCGCGAATATTCGCGGAGCATACGGCCCACGAACGAAGCACTGACCCTGTTTTATCCTCCTCCTCTGCTTTTGCCACCGCGTATCGTCTCTCTGTGTACACTGTTTCAGGTTGTTTGCGATGGTTGAGAATTTTCGTAATACACTATGGAGAAGACTATTTTTCTTTAATCCCTTTGCTACTCCACAAATTCTGAGTGCAAACTCACAGGTACTTCTGCTATCTGCCCCCTGTCTATTCGTCTTTACTTTATCCAATAATATATAAATGACGTTTCTAAGGTATTCCAATACTCTAAATTTGTATTATATATCGATGATCTTAAGTATAAATGTGTTTATAATCAGCAAAGTACTCGATCACTTCAAGATGACCTTAACAGGCTTCAGAATTGGCGCTCGTTAAATAAATTGTCCCTCAAACTAGATAAATGCCATATTGTTAAGTTTAGTAATGAGAAAAGTAATATAGTTTATAATTATACTCTAAATGGTATCGTACTAACCTCGCTTAATCATGTTAAAGATCTTGGTATAACTTTCTCTTCTAACTTATCTTTCGAAGTTCGTTATGAAAAAATTATTCCGCATAGTCTTTGCTCTCTGGGACTTATTCGTAGAGTTTCCAGAGAAAATTATAAATAATTGTCAGACGTGATAGAAGACGTCAACGATTTTCATTGTTTTGTAAGTTTTCCAAATTTCACAACTTCCCTATGTCGTGAGTTTCTCGCATAACCGTATATTTAGGTCATATTGTAAAGGCGAACATCTAAAAAGGGCAGCAAAGCTCGAACAATTTCTACGCAGAAATAAACATACCCATTATCAAACTCATTATAGTATTTAGTGAAGCTTCCTTTTTTGTACATATGAATTAAGTGAAAGAAAATGTTAGAAGAAAAGTATGAATTGTTTTGACTCTCCAAACTAGTCGAATAACTCTTTCGACTGATACGGTATCCTTGGGTCACTCATGACTCACTGGTATTTTACAAGAAAAGCGATGAATAATTGCATCGTACATATTATTATCGATTATATAAAAAAACGAATACTAGATTTTTTTAAAACAGTAATACTATTAGCTACATTAGAAAAAGCAAATGGAAAATGGGGTAGTTACAAGAAATTAATTTGTACATCTCCTACGTACGTTTACTCCTATTTTTTAGTATATATTAGTTATACTAAATTGTTAATAGATATTAGTATCCAAGTTTCCATCTATAACCCCCTAACTTTCGCTAGGGACGATCGATTAAGAAACAAATGCTAGATTTTTCAAAAACATTGATACTATTAGCTACATTAGAAAAAGCAAACAGAAAATAGGGCACTTACAAGAAACTAATTCGTACATCTCAACGTTTTCTCCTATTTTTTAGTATACAGGGTGAGGCACGAATTAGTCCCCAGTTTGCACCCCCTTTCGATGGTCTGACAAAAAAATGTTCCCCATCGAAGTTAATCGGTACTTAATCGACAAGAAATAGCAGTAAAATTTAAAAACAAATTGATTTTCAGATGACATCGAAAGAAAAATTGTCACGAATCGATTGCAATATTTGAAATTATTCAGTAACACACAACATTACGAATGCTTATTTATTCAACTTCAGAACTCAACGCACAACATGAAAGAAAAGCTTATACAAAACCAGACTCAAAAAGGTGCATGAAATTAGTAATTAAATTAAGTGTTCGAACTGCATTCCATCTTCTGCAACACAAAGTTCTATTCTTTGTAATACAGTTCAATTAGAGAACTTCTTTGTACATTTCTACACATTTCTATAAATTTTCCTCTTATATATACTAATTACGTAAACTAGAGAGCGTTAACCTATTAATAAAGAGACATTACTATCCAAGTTTCCGTTTACAACCCCCTAAGCTCGTGTTCGGGGGAGATCAAGATCCTCAGGAAGTCTCATGTGTAGCTTCAATCAGAGAACTTCTTTGTACATTTCTACACATTCCCTATAAATTTTCCTCTTATATATACTAATTACATAAACTAGAGAGCGTTAACCTATTAATAAAGAGATACTACTATCAAAGTTTCCATTTACAACCCCCTAAGCTCGTGTTCGTTGGAGATAAAAATCCTCAGGAAGTCTCATGTGTAGCTTCAATCAGAGAACTTCTTTGTACATTTCTACACATTTCCTATAAATTTTCCTCTTATATATACTAATTACATAAACTAGAAAACGCTAACCTGTTAATAAAGAGATACTACTATCCAAGTTTCCATTTGCAACTCCCCAAGTTCGTGTTCGTTGGAGATAAAAATCCTCAGGAACGATCCACGGAGGGTATCAGGTCGCGTACATATCGAAATAAAGAAAGATAGCGTTGATCGAGATTGGAGGATCGCTTGGAACGCGACAGGACGTTTCCGTCGGTTTTCGGGGGGTTCGAACCCGCGAAAAGTACCCGGTTCGGTATTGCGGTCGTCGGCGAGAAGCAAGGGGCTTCTCCGGGGGCTTAACGTACACACTCCACCCCCGGTAGGCGGAGTGTACCGCCTACGTGCAACCCCCACCACCGACCGCGGTACTGATACGCGATATCAGAGAACACTTGTTGCTCCGACGTATACAGATTCCGGCCCGGCCGCGCCAACGAGCGCTCCACGTCGCGCTCCTGCCACCGATTTTTTACGTGCTGATTTTTCCACCTCCCATGACCCTCCCTCCACCCTCCTCCTTCCTCCCTCCTCTCCCCTCTCTCTTTCAGGCGTCGGTGCTCGATCGCGCGCGGCCAACTTCCGCCCCGGTGGATTTTCGCGCGCCCCTGTCGACGATATTCCAGGCTCGAAAACGAGCCGTCCGTGAATTCCGTCACGCGGCCCCCGTGTGCCGCGAGTCGGGGAAAATGGAGGTGCAACGCTCGTAAATCTTGTATGTTTACCTGATACACGAGGAGGCTGCCCGCCATGACACGGCTCCCGACGCTCATTCTTTGCGATTAGTAATTTACTCGTTCGCGTTAGGCTTTCGATCTCGTCGTTTACCGAGTATCGCGTGTATTATTAATGAATTGGGCATCGTTTGATTGTTACAGGCAGTGCGGTGGCTGCAGCCGACACCATTTCCGCGCCGTGGACTCCAGCGAGTTCCGGGCCGCCGCCCGACGCGAACGGCTCCGGCTCGGATACCAAGAACCTCGACGTTGGCGAAATTAGCGATGTAAGTCTTTCTTACGGTTCCGATACACGTGCACTGATCCACATTGAATATTTCCATTGGGTTGTCTGGGAAAGTAATTTCCCCATTTTCTTACAATATACAGGGTGTTGGGTCACCCATGGGAAAAATTTTAATGGGAGGTTCTGGAGACCAAAATAAGACGAAAATGAAGAATAGCAATTTGTTGATCGAGGCTTCGTTAACAAGTTATTAACGTTTAAATCTGCGAACAGCTGCGTACGCGTGATAGTGGCTCTCATTTAAAAAACTGTGAGACTGTCGATACTAAGTAGAGTTTCTCATGCTGAGAACCAGTATCACCCGCAGCTGTATGCAGGCTGTCTATCTACAGGCGGAAATTTAAACGTTAATTACTTCTTAACGAAGCCTCAATCAACAAATTGGTGTCTGGATTTTCGTCTTATTTTAGCCTCTAGAATTTTGGTTTTTGAATGAAATTCTAGCTTATGTATGATTAGAATGTTCTACTTGTTTTCATTTCATTCCCAATCAAGCACATTATTATTGATTTGCAATAAAAACGTACATTCCTAGACTAACCCAGACCTAACCCAGACCTAACCCAAACCTAACCCAGATCTATGAGTGCAGGGGACTTAAAACGTGGTAGCTTGTAAATTTAGTATAACTAATTTTTACTTTAAAAATTATCGTTTATTCCTGGTTTATTCAGATTCCCCAAAATTTGTACTTTCTTGAAAATTCTTGAAAATACTTGAAAATTGTCAAATATCACTTTTTGTTTTACCATTTCACATGAATCTCCCACCCTCAAATCATTCCCACCTTCATCGATCTGATTGCAGTATTGTCTAATCGTACATTCGTTGTATAATAATTGATCCAAGTCGGTGAAATTCAAAGTAAACGCATAACGAACGATTAAAGATAGCCAATAAAACTTCGATCAGAAAATAGTAAAATATCGCGCTGTTTTCCTACCACATAAAATTTTTATCGTTCCGATTCCACTTTTAATTGCTCGTTGTTCCCTTTCGCTAATAAATAATCGCTCGATGCTCTCCAATGTTTCAAAAATCGTTTTACATCACGGTAAGTAATTCATTTCCTGCGCCAGCGATTTAATTTCTTCCTCTTCAATTTACTTCCTCCGTACTGTTTCGTATCACTAATTCTTTATCAGAGCAATTTTTTGTTATACTCCATGTTGGTAAGAATAAAATGTTATAGTACCTTATTTTTTATTTTAATAACACTTGTTGCAAAGGAGAACATTTTACAGAATTTCCACACGACATTTTCTTATATCTTACAGGGCCATCTAGTACCTTGCAGCGTTTAATTTCTACAGTAATTAATTTATCGGATGTATGAACATCCACGAAACAATTTCTTTCGTGGTTTTCAAAGATGGAATAAAATACATGCAACAGAGGGTTGATAAGTATCGATCAAAACTCGTTGAATTGGTCCCACCGCTAGTAAGAGCTGTTCAGTTATAACTTATCACACATTAGTTACTTATTTATTCGAACGAATCACTGATACTCAAGTTTCATTTTGATACGAGAAATCTGCAAAAAAATTCTTTGAGATGTTTAAAGATCTCTTTCTAAAACTGATTCTAAGGCCGGTCTATAACCACGCCTGGAACGTAGCCGAGTCGGTCCACCGACGATTTCTTTTTGTCAATCCGAAAGATCCTCTCGCCAATTTCGTTCTGTTTGTACATCGTGTAGCGTGTGTCTCTCTTTTCCCTCGTACGTGTGTCGCGTACACGGACGCCAGGCCCGAAGATAAGGTCGAAGTTGGAATTTCAACGAATCGAGGACGTCCGTGTTGCACGAACGGACGAGAAACGGCCGATTACTTCGCGCGTTAGATCAAGTGCCGAAAGGTAGAAGGTGAAACGATCGACCGGGGAAGGGAAAGTCTTTTCTGAGAAGTCCGGTCACGTTTGTTTCGCCGATGTTATGCCCGTGTAATCCAGAACCGAGGACCCCGTGAAAGCCTCTGGATCGGTTCCCAAATTTTGTCGAATCCAAAATCAGAAACAATTTCCACCCCTCTGATTTACAAACAAAGGCATTTCTATCGATTTCGATCGAATAAATTAAACATAAAAGATTCTTTCAAGCTGTGGTTCTTAACTTTGGTTTCCCTAGGATCCCTTTTGCGAGTCCAATGGAACTTACAGACGCTTCCTAATGTTTCATTAATTTTAGTTAAATCAATGTTTTCTGACGAATGTTGAACATTCTGACCTGGCTCATCTTTCTTCTTCTTTTATCCTCTTTTATTATACACAATAGAAATAAAAAAGAATTATTAAAAGGATTAAATCTAACTCAATTTATATCCAATCCTGTCATCTTAAAATAACTAATGCACTGACCACGTGGATTCGATGTACACGATTTAAAAAATTAAATCAATCGAGCACACAGACACTGTTGACGTTAGGAATATGGCGAGAAATAGATAAACTGTGTGAAATATCATTTTTTTTTTTAAATGCCAGACGCCTCGGAGGTACGTCGCCGCGGAAATTCGAATTGATTCGTTTCGGTGATGTTTATCGTGTACGGAGATTACGAACCGATGTAAAACCGAGGCGATATTTACGACGGTTGAAATATTCCGGCCCGAAGGATCGAATTATCGATGAATCGGTGCGTTCGTATTTTTCAGGACGAGAAGGACTTATCGGCGGCAGACGCGGAGGGTGTATGGTCGCCGGATATCGAGCAGAGCTTCCAGGAAGCTCTCACTATATATCCGCCATGCGGCCGACGCAAAATCATCCTGTCCGACGAAGGGAAGATGTACGGTGAGTCGAGCAATTTCCTACCAAATATCTCTTCGACGTTTACGCGAGAAAAAAAAAACGATCCACACGCGCATGTTACCGTGCAAACGGTGTACACTCGAACGAATTTATGTGCATGATCGTCGGTTCTCTCCCCCTCTGAATTTATAAGTTCGTATCAGTTAATTTCTCGCGAGAAAATAAGTCGAAAAGGAGGAATCAATTTTTTCCGTTTCGAGTTTCATTTTCGAGAAAATCGAGCTCGAAAATTTATCAGCTTGGTAACTGGTGGTACGTGAGAAAATGTCTTTATTTTCAAAATAATTCGAAAGTAAGTCGAAAAGGAAGAATAAATTCTTTTCGTTTAAAGTTTCATTTTTGAGAAAATCGAGTTCGAAAATTTATCAGCATGGTAACTGATGGTACGTGAGAAAATGAATGGAAAATGTGGTATACAATATTTTTATACGAGTCTTCGTTCTCGAGATAATTGACGTTGAAAGTCCAAGTTTAACGCGTCTGACTATTACTCATTATTTCTACTTATGTAGAGTGTCGATTGTGAGTATCAATATTAGCGCGGTATTATTTGCTTCAACCAGCTGTAATTAGTTAGTAAATGATGATATAAACGAAAAAGAGACAATGCAATGCTGAAATTAATGTTTTGGAAATGGTAACGCAAGTAGAAATAACGAGCAATGGTCAGACACGCTCGCCAGGTCGTACTCGGTCGCGCGCGTACTCCATGAATTTTCAAACTGAATTTTCTCGGAAATGAAACGTCGTGTGAACAAACTTCACTCCACATTTTCGATTCATCTTTTCACGTAGAATGGTCATACAACGTCGATCGTGCCACCACTTACCGGACACTCTGTGTATTTCCATGAGAAACCATATAGTAAAATGCAAAGAACTTTTTAATTCAAACTTTATTCTGGCCACGCACTTTATTAACGTGGCTGGATATAAAAATTATATTAAAAATGAAAGTCATATAGAAATCTCTTGTAAGATTGATTTTAATACATTTGTTCTTATTGATAAGTACTATAAGCTTCTAAAATCTTGGAGTATTACTTTATCGCCACTTTGGTTCGACTCTAGGATCTTCGAAGGGTGGTTGAGTAGTTCTTTAGTTCTGTGTATTTCCATGAGAAACTATATAATAAAATACAAAGAACTTTTTAATTCAAACTTTATTCTGGCCACACACTTTATTAACCCTTTGCACTGTCGAGTGTGATTCGACATAAATTTTTATCTCAGGAGCTCCTTCGTCAAGTCCCATTCGACATTTTTTCAAGTCCAAACCAAAGGATATCGTACACTTGAAAATTACAAAACACAACAACAGTGTAAATAAAACAGATATTCTAATAGGTAAATTTCAAATAAAACACTTAAAAGCGTTGAAAGGGTTAACGTGGCTGGATATAAAAATTATATTAAAATGAAAGTCATATAGAAATCTTTTGTAAGATTGATTTTAATATTTATATGGACATTTGTTCTTATTGATAAGTACTATAAGCTTCTAAAATCTTGGAGTATTACTTTATCGCCACTTTGGTTCGACTCTAGGATCTTTGAAGGGTGGTTGGGTAGTTCTTTAGGGCCCCGGTGTACTCAAAGAACGCTTTCGTTCGTAAATAATATCTTGGCGAGAGAAAAATATCCTTACGCGGAGGACCTACCAGGTCCTTGCACTTCACGTACGTGATGCGATGGGTAGAAACGTCCGGGCGGGCGTCGTTATTGCTCGATGCTGAGGTCAGTCTACGTGACCGACCAGATATTGCCTGCTACGACCACGGGTATCACCGTAGTCACCACCATTAACCGCCATGAGCTCACCACCGAGGCAATAATGCCACGCCTCGAAAGATACCCCCCTTGACCAACATCTTTGTCCCAATATTGTTTGCTATTTTCTACCATCTCCCTTCCTTATCACTCTCGTACTTTCAATCACTTTTTTTTTTGGAAAAGTATTTTTTTTTCTATACTATCCTTTCCATACCCCAAAAAAAAAGATCACAAGGAAGCTTAGCTGCGTTCTCCTAGCCGGTTTAGGTTACACGGTGGACATGATTTATTATAGTAAATACCTTGTTCTACTCTGTTCATCATGGGTTACTGCAAATTATGAGGGCAAAACTTATTCCACTTTGATAGTAACTTGAATTGTTCTGCCCCTTCGCAACGAAATTGGGTTTTGGTTATTTAAAACAGTTTAAATATAGAACTCAACGAACTCAACTTTTCTGTTTTCAGGAAAATGTATTTCACCGTCACGATTTAAAAATAATCGAGCAGGTGACGTCGATCTAATTCTTTCATATATTATAAAAAATCAGTTTTGGAGAACACGTTGCCGTTAAACAGTAAAAAATAAATCCTTAATCGTGTTTTAATAATTTGCGCAACTTGGCAAATTCGCTCGACAAAAAGAACGAGGGCTCGTGCCATTTTTTACCAGCCGCCGGTTACAACCCTTCTTGGTTCTTGGGTTTCACGCGTTTTTCGAGCAGATGCTAGCTTGAATCCCATTCGTTAAGGCACAATGTCGCTTAATTTTCGAACACGCTTCGCAGGAAAAGCCGACGGGCGGCAATTCAATCTTGGCCCGCGGCTGCTCTATGAAAACGAAGCTTAATTCGGCACCGCCTCGCCGACAACGAGCACGCGGATGAAAACAAGAAGGACGACAATCGACAAACCTGCCCGTCGTTCCCCGACTGTCGTCGAACACCCTCGCTTCTCGCTGCAAATTACAGGGTAATTAACTTCGCGCGCGACCCTGTTGAGGGCTAATTCGCGAAAGAAACATCGATCACGAAACAAAATATGCCGGGCGATACCTGAAAACGGAATATCCTTTCGCGAACCTTAATATAGACGTATTGACAGTGGTCCATATTGGAGGTCCTTCAAATTCTTGCATTTTTTAAATCAAATATAGGATGTTTCAAATATTGAGAGATTATTCTACGTGCAGAAAAAAATTGCGTTTGAAGCTTTTTTTACTTTTCAGTACTCATTGTCAGGGTGCCCCCTAGCTTGTGGGACCCATTTCAGGACTAAATTCTACACATAAAAATAGTAAATAAAATTAATATAAATATTCTATTTAGTTTGATTGGAGTTTGTTTTCGAGCTATGAGGAGTTGTATGTTGGTATAATCGTTTTTAAAGATATTAATGAATGAACTATGCGAAAGAATTGTACAAGGCTTCTATGAAATTCGAACAATTCCTGGACAAATAGAAAGGGTAAAGTAGTAAACGATAAAACGTCTCCAGACCTGTAATCAGATGCAAGGTGCTCGTTTCAAACGTTTGTTGCGAAGTTTTTCTGTTGAATATTTTAAATTTTGTTATATTTTGTTTTTTTGTTGACGAACTTTTTTTATTATTTTCACGCGTAGAATCTTGTTCTGAAGCGAGCCCCACGTGCTACGGGAAACCCTGTATAATTAAAATATTCTAACGAAAATTCTTCTAACGTCAGTGCAAGCTCAACTTTAACAGGATAAACTCGACAAAATATTTAAAATATTCAGATACCATATTTGGGAGTAGATTGGGAAATTTAGTGGAAACTATGTTAGATTTATTTAGAATAATTATGCGGACAGTGCTCAATTAAACAGTCTCTGCAAAGAAGGTTAAAGACTCGATCATCTTTCATCGAACCATGTACACTACAAGATGAAAAGAGTGATGAAGTTTGGGTACAAATGGATCTATGTGTCGCGTTGCGAGCCCTCATTTACGACCTCCAGGCAACAGCCAAATCCATATTTTAGAAATAGCCTTTACGCTAATACACTTTCATAGGTAGCGTCATATACAAAATTTTGTTTCCGTGTAAGATGATTAACAGTTACCCTTCGAGGCCATTTTTACAATAGTTCTTCCCGATACTTAAGACTACAAGTATTATTGCACGCCTCGGTTAATAGGGCCAACCTTTGAAGATACAAGCTAGCTCATTCCTTGCTAGCTTGCTAGCTCACTCCTTGCTAGCTAGGTAGCTGACTGCTTGCTAGCTAGCTAGCTAGTTCACTGCTTGCTATCTGGCTAGCTAGCTCACTGCTTTCTAGCTAGCTAGCACACTGCTTGTTAGCTAGGACCTTCTTGTTAGCTAGCTTGACCACCGACAAATCAGTGTTTTCTTATATTAATATCGCCCAGCCGCATTCTGAATAAAGAGCGACGCTCACTATCAAGTCCAGCGATCGAACAAGAAATTTTCGACACGTAACAAATAAGCATTACTTAATTCGACTCACCACATTGACTATCAACATCCAATACAGTCCACTAATTCTTACTTAAACATTCGCACAAAGTTACTTCAGCGTGCAAAGTACTTTACTTGTTCGAGCATCGACAGTGAAAAACGCGTACACTATGTTAGCTTTATTTATAATAATTATGCGGACAGTGTCCAATTAAACAGTCCGTGCAAAGGAGGTTACAGACTCGATCATCCTTCACCAAACCATGCACAAGTTTGGGAATCGGTCTCTAGCAACATAAAATTAAATAGCCTTGGGAAAAATTTTGTCCCGGCATAATTTAGTGTCTGGATAGCGAGATGTTTGCTCGGCGATGAAAACGAGACGCAATAGAAGATCGATCTGGACGTCTGAGGGATGAGAGTGCATCGGCATCGGCATCAGCGTCCGTCCGCCGGATGGAAACAAAGGATAACGAGGCGCGAAAATCGCTTAACGCGATTGGCCATCGATCCTATGGGAAACTTATCTTGCCCGTTGCTCACTCGCCGAGCCAATAAAGGATCCCTCGGCCTTTCCACGGGATTAAATATCTCGGGGCAATTTACCTCCTTCGATCTCCTCCTACGCCCTCCCCCTCCTGTTCCCTCTTTCGCGAGCCCTTCCACACTTCTCTCTCGTCTCCTCCGCTTCCTCTGCTCTTCTTTTTCCATCAGAACGTCGACGCCCACGCCGAGATTTCTCCGCGAAAGACCGATCGTTTCCACAGAC